GGTTGGAAGATGTTTTTTGAATGTGGTTGGGAGGGGCGGGTCGTTGCTTGGGTTGGAGGGTGTTTTCCGAAGGTGGGTGGGAGGAGCGGGTCAAAGGTTGTTGCTAGGGTGGGTCTTGAAGTTTTTTGGAAGGGTGTAGGGGTTGAGGCGTTGGAGGGTTGGAGTTGAGAGGGTGTTTTTTGAATGTGGGTGGGAGGAGCGGGTCAGAGGTTGTTGCTAGGGTGGGTCTTGAAGTTTTTTTGAAGGGTGTAAGTGATAGCTTCGAGAGGATCAGCTGTCACTGGCAGCACTGATCCTTAGTGAGGACGCACAAGCTTTTGTCGCCCTCTGCTTCAAGCAGCTCTTGCGCCTCAGCGGCGTCGGCAGTCAGAAATGCGTTTACAGAAACAAGGATCGGGAAGGCTTCATGCTATTCCTGACATCTTCACGTTCACACTGGTTGAAACCTTCCTTCCCTTCCCTAGAAAAACTCCCCTTTTTAAAGGGTAGGCTGATGCCATCCTTTACAAACCCCCACCATTAGCCAGCCCGCATCGGCTTGGTGAGTGGATCAGCCAGCTGGAAAGAAGTCGGAATCCACTGAAGAGGGGCCTTAGACGCCCACCTCTCAAAAGCTAGCTCCTGTCGAAAAGCGGCTAAATCGATGGCGAGCCTGCGGTCACTGGGGATCTTAGGCGCTCCGGTCTTGTGCAGGTAGTCGTACAGGGACTTGCAGTCCGTGACGCACAGGAGCCTCCATCTCTTTCTGGCCTCCTCGTGCTTCACTAGCTCTCCGGCCAGCAAAGATGCCAGTAGAGCCCTCATGTACTGGGCTCCTTCCAGTCCCTCGATCGCCGCCATCGTCTCCGCGCCGAACGTGGAGCGGCACACCCTCTTGCAGCTCTGGCTCCTCCACTCGAGGATGCTCCCTTGGGCCTTCTCGCCGAGGAGAAACTTCTCGTCGAAGAGCATCACCAGGTGGCCGATCTGAGAAGCGACCTTGGACCCCGTCCGCTTCGCCTTTCTAGGTCTCTCGTCCGTGTAGAGCTCGTTGAAGGTCCGCGCCTGGATCTCCTCCGTCGTCAACCGAAAGCCTTCTTCGGTCTCCTCGAGCTCCGCATTTGCCCAAGCGGCATCATGAAAGGCGACGAACACGGCCTTGTTGAGGTCGATGTTCCGGAGGTAGATTCCCTCGCTTTTGTGCTCCTCTGCACGCGTAGTCAAGCTGTTGACGAAGCGGCCGTCCTGGGTGAGGGGCGCGCGCTGCAATTGTTGCGAGAGAGCCACCCCGCATTGTAAGTCGGGCCGGCTCTGGCTCCCGAGAGCTCTTCGCACCACTTGGTGCTTTCGCTC